TGCCTATGGCTTTTTCGGTTTCCTCCCATCAAGGTGATACACAGGAAATGGGAATCTTCAAGTCGCAGATCATTTGGATGAAAACCATAATTTATGTGTTACATTTTCTCTTCTTAAGGGAAGAGATCTTAATAGTGATGTTTGAGTTCCCTGTTTTCTCTTGTAGGATCATGGTGCTGGATAAAGGTTTCATGATGGAGTTTGACACTCCACAAGCACTGTTGACTCAACAGGGAATCTTCTACAAAATGGCTCGTGACGCTGGGCTGGCTTGAGAAGCTAGACACGTTGTGATGGCATCGCAAAGCGAGAGCGTGTTTCTGAAGGAGACTGGGAAGAATTGCTACATAGGTATTGGTTGTGACCCGATGCAAGATGCACTTGTGTTATTACTGACTTTTTAGAAAGGATATTTTAAACAATATTAATTAACGAAAAAAGAAAAAGGAAATAATATCATCGATCCGGGTCCTTGCAGACAACTCGACTTGAATTGTGTGTAGTTCAGTTGATCTCTAACAGTGTGTTTATCTGTCAATTAGAAACAATTGTATTGCGTTTTTGCTTTCGAATCGCCTTTTCATTTCATTTCATTTCATTTCAACTCATATCAACATCTGAAATTGCATTCGCAAAATTTATCCCTCCCATCTCCTTACCCCCATCCCTCCGTCCCTCTCTATATATCACTTCCCTCCCGCACTTCCCTTATTCTTTGAGCATTTATTCAAGGTTTTATGCATTTAGTTGCTTTGTTGTTAACAGGTCAGGTTTTTGTCGGCGAGATTTATTGCCAGACATAACACCCTCTCTCTCTTTATCTTCATCTACCCCATTTTATTTTGTTTGCTTTTGGTGGTGTGGTGTTTGAAGGAGTCCTAAACTGACAATAGAGTTAGTGTCAGACACAAACTATATTTATAAATGAACTTATTTTATTCAAATATCCAGAGAACATAATTATTCAAATGCAATCTTAGTATGACACGTTCCCAATTCACGTGGTCATCCTCACCGTCCTTATAATGCAAACAAACATGCGTTACATTCCTTAGCATTTTCAAATCCTTCAAAGCTTTCTCTGTTACAGTATTTCACACAAGGAATTAAAATTAAGTATACTGTCTACAAAATGTGGTTTATAACTAATAACTGTGGAACTTGTACTAGAATATAATATTAAAGGAACACAACTTTTGGTTTACTTTTACAATTAAAACATTAAAAAAATCTGTAGGAAAAAAAATGCTGATTATTTGTGAAACTACTGTTATTAAGCCTTGGAGGAAACATTTAAAGCGTTGATTTACTCCACCTCATCGATTATTAGATAAATAAGTTTTCATAGGAACAACTTATCAAGTTGAAGTCTTTAAGCCCTTTAATCAACTAATAAATTCTCCACGTTGTCTACATACACTTTCTCAGGACCAAAAATTCAAGAATGTTTTCAACATCAGTGAGGTCTCTTTGTAGTGATCGTTTCCTAGATTCTCATGACTTTCACTCCTGAGAATATTGTGAGGAGAAATATAATTCCGATCAATCTTTGGGCCTAAAAGTTTAACCATTATATCAAGAGATGAAAATTATAAAAGAAATAAAAAAAAAATAGAAAAAAAATTAAAATTATTATTTACAGATATTGCAAAGTTCTTTGCAAAGCTCATCATGGCACAACCACCATGTTTATCTACCCAAAAAACTGTATATTACAATGTGATTGGTTTTCTTTTGCTGACGCTTAGCACTCTTACTTCAAAATGCAGTTGGTTATGTGTCTACATACAATGTTATCTAAGCTGATAGGTAAATCGACTAAATACGTGTTAACGTTGACTCTAATCTTTTGGTTTAAAATCAACCCATATGATAGTTTACCAGTTTTGTTATTCATTTTGTGTAAACTATGCGCATATTACTCTCGAAAGTGTCTTCTTTTTAACCTTTTCAGAAAATTATATTTATGAAATCATCGATAGCGCATCTTAGATCTATTTAGTTTTCTCTTTCATATTTCTCTATTTCTATCCTTTTTTGCCGTCTTCTTTTCTCTCTTTCTTTGCGTTAATAAAATGAACCCTTACAAATTTGCACTCTGTAATCATTGTTTGTCAATATCATCCCTATTTCAATGGTGAGCGAAAGTCTATGACCAGACACTTCATACATTGCTGTAAGACAAAACTGGCCATCTATAGTGTGCAATGTTAAATCATCCCTTCAAACTAAGTCGGAACTGTGATGCTCTTGTTGTAGCAATCAACAATTTTACGAACCTTTTCCTCTAGGACAATAGCTTCAATATTTTTGTGCCTTGGGGAACTAAAGATCTCAATTATTTTGGGCAATGACTCACTCACTAATATTAGCAGAATTCTTATAGCAGGTTCAGCATTAACACTGTTTTCAACAGAGAATAAGACAAACCTAACAAAGCCGAGGGAAAAAATCATCTTTAACAGCAATTTGCAAATCATCTTTACTTTAGGCATAAGCTTCGCGCATGCTCTGTCGAAAAGCTCCTTTGGAATGACCACCACATGTGAAGAAATAGACTCACGGTTAGTTTCCTCTCCTGTGACTACAATTTTCTTTTTGTAAAGTCTATATAGCATTAAGCCAAGTTCCTGCTATTTATTAGTAAAGGAGCTATTGCTCTTCGCTAAATATTAAAAGATAAGAATGAAACAGGGCAAGTATGGTGGAGTTTTATCTGAAAGACTGGGGGAGGGGGTGGGC